GTGCCCTGAACACTGAAGTCTCCCTCGCATTCAGGCAGTAGCGGCCCACACAAATTCTCGTCGGCTCAGAGCCGCGCGTTGCTTCTACTCGCGCTTCTCCAGTCGGGTCATCGTCCCACGGTGGCCCCCAGAAACAGCCTTTGTTCTCACTGTCTTCTTCCACGCCCCATCAAATCTGTAGGGCTCATTCTACAAAAGGAGAAAATCAAGGTGCAGATCTGCCTACGCAGCTTCTTCCCCCACCACAAGACATTCGTGCTGGAGCGGCCAGCAGCCAACAGGGACCTGGCGCAGCTGGAGCTGCTGCAGGAGGATCAGCTACGGCCACGCTTCAGACAACAGGAGGAGGCCTTCTGCCGGCACATCTGGAAAGAGGCGCCAGTGAAGGTGCTGCTGAACAGCAGCCCGGTGACAGGCAGAAGTGAGCAGTGGTAGCGCGAGGACGGGTGGCACGCGGGGGTTTGTGCGTGGGGGTGACGTGCGACTGTCACCTCTCAGCGCTGGCGCGCCTGGTGGAGGCTTACATGGCAGCCATCAGCACCGGCTCCGTGCTCTGCGTGGAGAGCGTGCACACGGCAGTGACAGAAGCTGAGAACAAGGCGGCGGTGGAGGCGGCGGTGGCCAAATACCAGCGGGGCATGGAGCAGGACCTGGTGCTGCCCACGGCTTCACTCGACGCGCTGATGGCCGTGCACCAGGACTGGAAGAAACGCGCCATCGCCTTCTTCCTGTCCCAAGCCCTTGACGGCACCGAGCAGCATGACCAGGCACTGCTGATGGTGCGTCACCAGCACGGCATGGGGATGGGGCTGATTTCTGTGCGCTGAGCGCTGCTTTTTGGCACAGGACAAACTGGAGGCGGCCAAGGAGGAGTTCTGCCGGCGCAACGAGGAAGCGTCGCAGCAGCGATGCCAGGCGGTGCTGAGGGAGCTGTGGGGGGACATGGAGCTCCGCGTGCAGCGTGGGGACTACGTGGCACCGGGGGGGATACGGCTGTTCCAGAAGGACCTGAAGTGTATGCAGGAGGAGTACAAGAGGAGGCCCGACAAGGGCGTCAAGGTGAGTGGGGGGTGGGTGCAATGGGGGCGGTGGCGACGCTGTGCCTCATGGTTGTACCGTCAGGAGGAGGAGGTGCTGGAGAAGTTCCTGCGGGTGAAGGGACTGGAGATGATCGAGATGTGGCTGGAAGGGGTGGACCGGCAGTGTAAGGAGGTGCTGGCTGAGGCGAGAGCTGCGACGCAGGCTGTGGAGAAGCAGGTGGAGGAGCACAAGCAGAAGATGATGCAGTTGACCAAGATGTGGGTCGTCAAGGAGATGCTGGAGCTGCGGGTCCACAGTTTGGAGGAGCAGCAGAAAGAAACGTTGGCTGAGGTGTCTGCAGCCAAGAAGGTGGTGGAGAAGCAGCTGGAGGAGCAGCAGCAGCAGCAGAAAGTGATGTTGGCTGAGGTGGCTGCAGCCAAGAAGGTGGTGGAGAAGCAGCTGGAGGAGCAGCAGCAGCAGCAGAAAGTGATGTTGGCTGAGGTGGCTGCAGCCAAGAAGGTGGTGGAGAAGCAGCTGGAGGAGCAGCAGCAGCAGCAGAAAGTGATGTTGGCTGAGGTGGCTGCAGCCAAGAAGGTGGTGGAGAAGCAGCTGGAGGAGCAGCAGCAG